ATTAACACTGCATTGTGGCTGTCAGTTTTATGCCTCAATGATTGCACTGAGATGCGAAACTGACAGTCATCAAGTATTGTTGATTCCTATGTGTTCACAATGTCTACCTCTAAACATGATCTCTGATACTGGGCACTCCTACTCTATAAAGATGCCAAATTTTAAACAATAAAATGAACATTAAAGTTAACACTCAGAGGCGACAGGCTGTTTCATGCTAGACGCAATCATCAGGCCTGACAATTGCATCAAGCATGAAACAGCCTCTGAGTGTTGATTTCAATGTTCACTTTTATATTTACATAAGCTCTATCTCTGATATTGAGCACTTTATCCCATAAATATAGCACACCTTAAAACTATATATATATATATATATATATATATGCGTGTGTGTGTGTGACTTTTTTGTCTTTCAAGAGATTTGTCTTTTAACTTATTTTTATTACCTTCTCTTTTCAGATAAATAATGCCAGATATCAAAAGGCACACTGTAACAGTCATCTTAAAAATACAACATAGAGGAAAACACAGGTAGTTCGCTTTCTGAAAGTTGGCCAATCTTTTGTTTTCAAAGTTTGAAAGCTGTTGATGGGGATCCAATAGCATTAGCCAAAAGCACAAAATGCTTCCTAAGTGTCCTAATACCATGAGAACAGCTGACTTTGTACAAAACGACTAGAAAATAACTGATAAGAGCCCCAGAATATCAATCGAAGGTATTGCAAAGGACCTCAATGTGTCAGAGTGCACCATTGAAAGAGTTATGAATGAGAACGCTCAGTTCAAGTTGTATATGATGCAAAGAGGTTAGTTAAAAGAGACAAGAGAGAATCATTCAATCTATGTGAAGCACTCGCTAAACAAACTAAAACAGCAAGTACCCCGAATACTTTAGTTTATCTTCAATTAGAAAAACTTGGATCAGGAGTGAGGTGTAAACGAAAGGAACAGCAGATGTTTATGCAGACACCCAACTGAGGTTCCAAGGGTCTTGCATTTCTAATTCCCAGGAACTGTAATGTTTCTGGGAGTCATTAACAACAAGGGTCATGTCATGTGTCCTTATTTCTTTACTTGGGGTTTCAAAGAGAGTTGTGAAGCCCTAGATAGTGTATGCACCAGAAAACCCTACACATTCTAACAAGACTCTGCATTATCTTAAAAAGCTAAGAAAACCCAAGCATGCATGCATGGCAATCTCTATGACCATGCCCCTCCCCACAAACACAGGACCTCCTAGCTCACCTGACATAAATTCACTCAACTACTGCTTTGTTGTGTAGTTGAGAAAGAGGTCAGCCAAACAACCCCAATCATAATACCATAATAATCTATCAAGTCTGCCATAAGCAGAACTATGTCCAAAATTGATAAAGATCATCTAATTTGGGAATGTCAACACATCTGACCCAATATCAAAGCAATTGATGTTTGTATCAATTTGTTTTCAAATAAAGCTATTCTGCCATAAGTTATGTCTTTTCCTAAATTCATGCAAATGTCCTCTGTGTGTGTGTATGTATATATATATTTTTATATATTCAATGTCTGGCTGCTACTCATTTCTATGTACACCTGTCTTCCAGGGTGGCCAGCAAATCCCTATTACAGACTCCAGCTCAACCTACATAGCTCAACTGTGTTTTATTTTATCACTATGCTGAAGGCAACTTAGTTACACTTTCTGGGAGTAGATACATACAACTGGTGTGATCAATTTCTTTTTTAACAAGGCCAGTACACTCAAACCCTCAGTCCTGATGACTTTCAACTCTGTGCTAATGCAACCATTGACAGCTTCCAAATGGTTCTGTCTACCTAATTTTATACACTAGGCTTGGGTTAAGCCATAGTTTGGTTTTCAAGCACTTTCCAAAGGTTCCACGTGCTGGGATCATCTCCCTAGGCTGAGGTAATCAAGGAGTCACCTTGACAAATTGACCAACATGAGATTTGAACCAAGGTTTCATGTATATTTGCCTTGATAAAGTCCCTTAGAGGATAAAATGCTTGGCTAAGGTAAGTTTATGTTTTGTCTTTTTTCATATTGTCCTTTGACAGATATACTCTATATGAAATTTTTTACACACGCGCACACACACTATATATATATATATAACTAAACTGAAAAACAAGCCTGTGGTCTATAATAATTTTGTAAAAACAAAGCAAAAACTGACCTAACAATGAGAAGTGGTCATCTGGACAGCCTATAACTGCAAACAGGTAATAGTGTATCCAGGAAGGCAAAGAAAAAAGAAAAGAAAATGAAATTGGGAAGAGAACAGTTTATAACAGACTATATAGTCAAGCACCATTCCAGTCAGAGTAAAATGTAGGAGGGCAGGATGAGTGGAAGAACACTGATTTCATGAATCCTGGCATCTCTTATATACATTGCAAGACCAAATAAAACTGAAATATACCAGACCATTGGCCATTCTGTCAGAAGAGAACGAATATGGTTAATGGCAGTGTAAAGATGTCAAAAGTACCTTGATATAAAAAAAAATACATCAGTTACTCAATTTCGGCTGATACTTGTAGCCATCAGCAAATGAGTTTGTTATTAAAGCAACACATCTATTCAAAGATGGTCTGAGCCTCCCAAACATGACCTGAATATATTTAATAAGCAGCTCAGTAAACAAATAGAAAATTTGTAGGATATTAGTTGTAAGGAGTATAAATGTTATGACAATTAAAATATTACTTTGTTGGATAATGATATAATGTAGCACTTACCAAACAGCAAATAAATAGATAAAAATAAATAGAATAGAATACTAATTCAGTTATATATATATATATATATATATATATATATATATATATATATATATATATAAGGCTGATGGTCAGATTTGAATCAGACCAGGATTCAGTAGTATTAAAAAGTGGTCAATAAGTTTTAATGTTATATATATATATATATATATATATATATATATATATATATATATGAAAAAGAAAAATATCAAATATATAAAAAAAAAGATTGTTGAATGATAGAAAGCAGAACAGTAAACTTACCATTCTGAAGTTTGAGTACTTTAAGTATCTTTAGAAGAGTCCTTTGTGTAGGACAAAGAGTTGTTTTTTTATGTATTTTTTATCTAGACCATATTGAGGCTGTGTACATTTTCAAACAATACTCAGAAATTGTAAGTTAGATAAATGAATCTTTTTTTGGATAGTAATGAATAAAGATTTAAATTTTGCAGCTGTAATAATCTTTGGCTCCAGCCTATAAAGTTTGTTTTATGAAAAAGAAATAAATAAAATTAGACATTTTGGAGGAAAAAAATGGAGACAATAAACATACCTAATAAAATGGCTATTAACTGATGTGTATTGATATAAACAAATGAGACTGTTTCTACTCAAAATTACTATATAATGCAGACAGGAGAATCAATATTGTATGGTGGCTGTCAGTTTCACATTTCAATGCCATCGTCAAATGAAGTTTGAAAGATCACAATGAAGTGGGAAACCAACATTCACTAGGTAGTGTTAATTCCAAGCTCCACATTATCTATAAACACTATCTCCAATATTGACCACTCTTCCCCTATAAATAAAGCAAATTTTAATCAATATATATTTATATGGAGAAATATTTTCTTATACATATATGTGCACAAATACTCAATGCTTCACAGGCACATATATACACAAACAAAATTGGGTTGACCATTTTCTCTCTCTCTCTCTCTCTCTATATATATATATATATTAGATATCCAAGTGATATCAATTCCAAAATAATAACATTCATAAAAAAAAAGGAAACTGTCATTTGAAAATTTAAAAATCCCAAAATGGCATATATTTAAATAAATTTTCTAAAGAAGTAATGGAGTTTTATTTATTACTCCAACAGATTATATCACTTTGTTATTTTTAGTGGACACTTGTATTGGAGCAGTAAAATGTCTAATGAATAAACAGAACATCTACTCAAATACATGTATTCACTAAAAGTAATGTTTAAAGTGATATATTTATATATATGCACACTAAAATATAAAATGCAAGAGTATGTACATAAACATATTTGTAATCAATATAAACATACATGTATATAAATTACAAATATGTGTATACCTATAAATATTTAGCATTTATGTACATTTAGATCTTTGTAAATGTATTTATGTATGTATATAAACCACAAATGTTTATATGAACATGTATAGATAAATATATATATTTATAATTGTTAAAACATATTGCATCAATAATATTCAAGAATGAAACATATCACTAATGTTGTCTATAACGTCCAACAAGATAGAATACATATAGTATGAATAATAATAATAATAAAAAAAAATAATCACCCAGATCAAAATTTTAACTTATGTTTAATTTCTAGGGCTCAACAATAATTTTTCTGGATGAAATTGTCAGGTGAGTTTGAGAATTAAAAAAAAATAAAACAACAAAAAACAAACTTATAGCCATTTGAAAAAAAAAGTCCTGATGTCTGTGAGTGGTGGAAGTACCAGACTTAAACAAAATAAGCACTCCAAATACCGGTGTTACAATCTCTATGTCTGACTCTAAAAGGGGGCACACAAACTCCCTAACAAAGTGAGGACATCCTTTAGACATTGTGCTTATTGGTACCTTATTTTCTTTATTTGAAGGTGTAAACCAAGAACAAATAATAATAATAATAATAACATACACACATCTTTTTAGTTTGTTTTTTTTTTCAGTCAGAACAACAGCATATTCTCAATATATACGAAAAAGTACAAGCCAGTTATAAAAATAGAACATTTTAACAAGTCTTGGAGAAAAACCAAAGTCTTGGTATTGTCTCTTTTTCTTTCTTGACAAAGATCAGTGGATTAATTCTGGTTGTCATTTTAAGTTGAATCTTTTGGTTTGTCTTTTAGGTTTCTTTTTGGCTTTTTCTATTTATGTCTTTGTTTTTGTCCCTGCTCAAAAAAAAAAAAAAAAAAAAAACCTCTCTCTCCATTTCACTAACTGTTCTCATTTTCCTCTTTAATCTGTTCAGATTGGGAATCTTCTTCTGTAACCAAAGTCTCTGATGCTTCTGCAGATTCTTGCTTGTCTTTTTCTTTCCAGTACTGGTAATTGTTCTTTAAAATTTCCATTAGTTCAGGTATATCACAGATTTCTGGAAAAAAATGAGAGTTCCATAGATGAAAAGTGTAGGAAAAAGGAATAAGTTGCAAAAATTCATAAACAGATGTCCTCAAGGACACATCACCCAGTGGATAAAGGCATTGGTTAAATCCAGTGACTAGACCCAAAAGAGTTGTGAGTTCAATATCAGACTACAGCAGTGGTGAACCAAAAACTTGGAGTGTTGAGTTAAAGGGAAATAACTGAGACATCTAGAAGAGGCATGGCATGTGGAGCTAAAACAATCTGCCCTGGTGGATGAAATAAATCTTCAATCACCTGAAGAATATGGCAATGAAGATGAGGATAACAGTCCAAATAATGTAAGAAAGAAATTGTTAGCAAAGAAATCACAGTTACATATAGCTAATATAAAATTAAAAGCAGTTTGTTTCTTTGGGTCTTTCTTTCTGGATACATACATATATATGATGCACATGTATGTATTAAATGTACATTATATGTATATTTAGGCAGCATATTTTCATTCAAGCATGTTTGGTTAAATAATTTAGACGTATTATGTCTATCTATTTTAATTTTAATCCTTTCAAGTCCACGGATTAATTTATTGATAGCTGCAGAAAATTGATCAAGAAAAATTCCAAAATTTTCTTTCAAATAATTTTTATTTTCCCAAGTACTTTCAACCTCTTCCAAGATCATCTTCAGAATGTTTAGAATTATTTGAAGATGTATTATGTTCTTTTTGATTTATATTAATATTTGTAATAGCTCGTTTAATTTGTTCATCAACAATGTAATTAGGAAAGTCATTATTAATGTGGGCTTGTTTAATATTTTTCAGTTCACTGTAGAAAATTTTTGGGGTTGAAAAATTTGCTTTTGCAGAGTTTATTAAGTTTCACATAATAGCTATTTGGAATTTTTCTTGATCAATTTTTACATCTACCAAGAAATTAATCTGATGATTACATGATTGAATGTACATTATATATAACGAACATACAAGCCTTTCACTAAAGAACTTTATAATCATAAATACATTAGCAAAGAATCTAACTATCCCCCAGGAATTTTAAATAATTTGCACAAATCAGTGCAGCATAGGCTCTCTACTAACTTTAGTAATAAAGATATTTTTGACAAATATAAAAGTAAATATATAAATGCAATAATAAAAAGCAAACACAAAATTAATCTAGAATACTGTGACAATAATAGATTGACAACAAAATGCAACATAACCATAATGTCAAAACCAACATAGATAAAATTTTCCTTAATTTAATTCACAAATTAATCCACAATTTTATTCAACAAAAACAATTAGCTACAGCTGTACTAAAAATCTTGAGCAGTATATAGCACAACAAAATAATTTAATATTAAATAAATATTTAAATAACTTCAATAGTAATGATTGTACTGACAAAAATTGTAATTGCCAAAAATATAGTACCTGCTCATGTAATTCTAAATGCATAAATAAGGGTGTGATTTATAAAGCTAGCATTGAGCATAATGGTAAGACTAAATTCTATTTTGGTTCCACTGCTAACCATAGGAAAACCAGGTATCATCATAAAATGACTCTTACCAATAAGCAATATCCAAATACGATAACATTCTCCAAATTTTTCTGTGAAATTAAGACATAATTACACACATCTGTAAATTGGGATCTCATTGCTATAACAAAACCTTTTAACCTCAACAAGGATAAATGTACTGTGTGCCTATTAGAAAAAACAAACTATTCTCAAACACATCAATAATCATAATCTGCTGAACAAGCAAAATGAACTTATAATTACTTGCAGACATAGAAGGAAATCTCTTCTTAAATATTTCAATGCTGGATAGAACAATTATCCTATCATCTCTGCAATACCCCAAATGGCCTGCTCTAATACTTATTTATTTTCTTTTTCATATCCAGTTACCTCCCTTACACCATCCTAGCATTTAACAGTTTTAAACCTAGTGTTTCTTTTTTATTTTGTTTTATTATTTTTTATTATTGTTTATTTTTTCTTTTCTTTACCCAATATTCTTTTTTGTCTACCCACACTTTTTATTTGGTAACTATCAACTTTTTTTTAGTTTGTATTGCAATAATATTATCTATTGACTCAATACACATTAATGTATCAATATCCCTATTAAACTTACTATTAATAACTTAGTTTATTTTTTGATATCTACCTACCAATTGAATTTATACCCCAATACTGTTATAGTTATAATAACTTTGAATCCACATAAAATGTAGCATTGCTCCCATGAGATCCAGAAATTAAAAAAAAAAAAAAACCTATCATATTGAACAGTTTGTAACTTTTTGTACATGATGATTGGCAAAGCTATAATAAAACTCTGAGCTGTACTGTAAATGTGGATATATGTGTAATTATTAATATATACTTTATAGCTCTCTTTTAGTACATTGAGCACTGTTTTGTCTACAGCACTGATTAAATAAATAGTTATTTGATATATAATAATAGTATGAAGAAAAATATACAGAAAAAACAAAAACAAACAAAAATAAACATAAAAATAGACCGAAACATCCGACATTGACTTTATATTAACATTAATACAGCATAATTGCATATTAAGATTTTTGTTTGTTTTTTCTGTATATTTTTCTTCATATAAGCTTATGTAAGAAATGGAAAAGGTTATTAATATCAATCTTGTACATATATTTATATCTATAGATGTATTGAGATTCATATGTGTGGTGGCTTGTGTACATTTACACACTATCATGTGCACTTATGTACACATGGGCATCTATATATGTATACACTTTTCCTTTTAGTTTTTCCTTTATTTCTTTTATTTTCTGTACCCCTTTTTTGTTAATAAATTTCCAAATTTTTATCCATTTTTTTTTTTTGTCCCTTCATTTTTTCTTTTCATTTCATAATATTTATTATTAGATATTCCATTTTCATCTCCTGATTTTTTTCATCACATCATATTCTAACCACACCTTGTCCTTCTACACTTGAAAACTTGGTCTGACAATTTTTGCTACAACTTGCTACATGTGAAACATCTTTTCTCCTCCCCAACCTATAACTACCTTCATCTATGTTTACAATCACACACCCACCGTAACACTCACTAATAATAGATCTGCCTAACACTTTTATACTGATCAAAATTTTAAATTTAAGTTTATTTTTATAAAATGTTTCGCACATTGAGGAAACAGACAGAGTTCGTGTTTTTGCTAACAATACAATTTCCACTGAATAGTACACCATATACAAAAACATCTGTCAATGAGTAACTCCCATTTCTCTGTTTATTCCTTGGTCGGTTGATGGAAGACACAGACGTGTCTGAAAATTCCTAACTTTAAACCTTCCTCCCTGTGCTTCATTTCTGTCATATGGTTAATAATTAGTATTTAATAAATATTTATCATACTTATTATAGTGGCACCCTTTCATTTGAACTTTTTTTTATTAACTAACCTATCCTTTTTACATATATAAGTAAAAAATCCATTGGTATATAATCCAAGTGGATCCTAGTAATATGAAAGTTAATGTTTAAGTTGACTCTTTAGCTACTAATCTCAATTCTTCAAAGTTAACTGCTACATACCCCATTCTTCTAACCTTACGGATATAAACTTCATTTTATTCCATACTGGGGTTGAAAAGATAGACAAACACATTTGTCATCTGCCAAAATAGCCTATTCCCCATATGAGGTAAAAGGATTTGTGTGCATGTGTGTGTGTACATGTATGCATTACACTTCCTAAAATTGCCCATTAAATAACCAGAGGCGACAGTCTGTTTCATGCTTAAACGCAATCACCAGGCTTATGTGTTTAAGCATGAAACCTACTGTCGCCTCTGGGTGTTGACTTCAGTGTCACTTTTGAATTTACATATGTTCTATCCTTGATATTGAATATTTTAACCTATAAAGTTTTTCTTATCTACAAAGAAGAGATTTCTTTTTTATACTTAGTCAATGTACAGATTGCACAAATGATTGTTCTGGGTGCTTTCAGCTAATTTCTTAGCTATTTGCAAGGATTTTAGTTGTGCTATTATAAATGTCATATAAGTTGCTGAGGGACAGATATATTTTTAAGTATCAAATACAGTTGAATACATGTGTACGAATTTATTTGAAAATATACTGAATTCTTCTGTTGAATGTGTTTTTCTTTAAATTATAATATCTTTTCAGTTATCTGGTGCACTCTCTACAAAAACAAGATAATATTACAATATATGTAACAAGATAAAATGATTCAGTGGCATCGAAGAAAAGGTTAATAGCAACAATATTCCTGAAAGTGAACCTTACCTGCCCAGGACTCAAACATCCCTTGTACAAAATATTCAATAAAACTACATTGGGACTTTGGTATGCTGCAGGTTTTTCGGTCAAATACAGGCATTACAATGGGAAGATTCTTTTCTTTTTCTTCATCCGTCTGTAAACAGGAAGAAAAATTCAAGATGACAAAATTTCCTAGTGAGAAAAAATAATGTGTGTGTGTGTGTGTGCGCATGCATACACACGCACATGAGGGATTATCCAAAAGTTGGGACAGACTGGAAAGATTAAAAAATTTACTTACCATCAAGTTTCAACTTTATCCTTGGAAAATTGGCTCATAAAGGATGCTGTTCAGAAAGCATAGTGGCAAAATCCATACAGCATGTACTGTTCAAATTCCTCAAATTTTGGACAGCACTTTGCATGTCTAAACATCCACACCTCCTTTCTTTTATGCACTGTGTCCTTTCAGGATGTTGGCTCTTCACAATTTCCCATCCTTTGTCACTCAGAGTCTGTCTATATTTCCGAGATGAGGTATTATGTACAGTATTTACATTAGTCGGACTATTGTTCTCATCTTTGTTGCCATATTTGTCACAATGTTTCGGCCGTTGTAGTCAAGGCTCGGCAAGTGCAAAAATTAAATAGATTGAAAGATTAGAAGGTGATGCACAAGGTCCATCACCCACCAGTGAAAGCAGTAGTCAACACCAGCCAATATCAGCTGAGTGCCTCTGAGGAGTCAGTATTGAATAAGGGTCTCAACTTCGCCACAACCATCAGGCGGGTGCCATACTTGGACATCATTGCCAGAGTCGAGGAGGTGGCCTTGAACTTCCCTCAGGCTCAGGCGGATGAACTAAGATGGAAAGTAAGACAGGCCTTGGAGAGAGCCAAGCTGCCCAGGTTTAACATAACAAAACTGGAGAGACTGGCAATTGAATCCCTACAGAGTAACGAAAACATCATCATACTACCGGCTGACAAAGGTAATGCGACTGTAGTGATGGACAACTCAGAGTATACAAGAAAACTGGAAGACCTCATTAGCAATGGTAGCTACAGCAAAGTGAAAAAGGATCCTACTATGAAAACGGAATGCAAACTGTCACAGATCCTAATCAAGAACAAGGATCACTTCGCACCCAAGACATATAGGCAGTTATCGCAGCGTTACACCAAGCTACCTCACATATACGGTCTCCCTAAGATTCACAAAGATGATATTCCACTCAGGCCAATTGTTAGTTGCCAAGGCTCTGTGTGCCACCCTCTGAGTCGCTTCCTTGTAGATATAATTGACCCATTATTTGGAAAGTCTCCCTCATATGTTCGAAACTCCGCCCACTTCGTGGAAATAATCAAAGATGCTCCCATCCTATCCAATCAGATGGTGAGCTTCGACGTGGTGAGTTTGTTCACCAAGGTACCCACAGAGGAGGCACTCTCAGTAGTCAGAGACAGATTGACCTCTGACACTTCCCTAGAAGAATGGACCAGTATTCCAATAGGTAATCTGATGGAGATGTTGACTTTCTGTGCATAAACAACACACTTCGGAATGGGATCACACATATATCGACAGGATGAGGGCTTAGCAATGGGCTCGCCATCATCACCAGCAATGGTGAATATATACATAGAATACTTTGAAGAAATGGCATTAGAATCTATATCTCTAAAGCCAACTATATGGTTAAGGTACGTAGATGACACCACCATACGCTGGCCACACCAGGAGGATGTTCAGGTTCTCCTGGACCATGTGAACTCAATAAGACCTTCGATACAGTTCACAATGGAGAAAGAGAGTAACAACACACTCCTATTCCTGGATGTTCTAATATCTCGAACAGAGCATGGGTTCAAGACATCTGTATACCGTAAACCAACATTCACCAGACAGTACCTCAATTTCAACTCCTACTATCCATACAGCGTAAAGAAAGGGATCGTCCGTTGCTTACAACACCGAGCAAAAGTCATAAGTGGCAACCCAGAGACGTTAGATAAGGAATTGGTCAGTATATGTAGTACCCTACAACGTAACAACTACCCTGGGTACATGGCAGCAGCCCCCAAAAACTGGGATAGGCGGGTACAAGAGGAGGAGGAGGACAACAACACTCAGAAAACAGTCTGCCTGCCTTATGTGAAGGGGTTATCAGAGAAAATACAAAGGATCTGCAGTCCATATAACATCAGGACAACCTTCAAAAGCATGACAACACTTTGCAGATATTGAGTGAGACCCCCCACAGAGGAGAACATGACTAAAGACTGTGTGTACGCTATCCCGTGCAGCTGCAGAAAGGAATATAAAGGAGAGACAGGCCGCCCCCTCAAGGTAAGGCTTCAAGAACACCAGAAAGCTGTAACGCGAGGGGAAGTAGAAAATCAGGTGGCTGACCACATATGGAGAGAGAAGGGAGATCACCGCCCTCTGTGGGATCATGTTGAGATCATAGACAGGGAACACCATTGGAAAATTTGAAAACTTAAGGAATCAGCACATATGCTAGGCCACAAAAATCTCCTGAGCCGACCAAGCATAGAAATAAATACAATATGGGAACCAGTAATAAGGAGTGCCAGAGAAAAGCAATGATAACAAAAGGTTGCAATATGAACTCTGGTAAAAACATGCAATGATAACAGCAAAATTGCAATATGAGCACTGGTAAAAAATGGTTGTTGAAAACATTAGGTTTATAATACCCAGAAGTTCATACCCAGATGTCCTCAAGGACACATGGCACAGTGGATGAAGGCATTGGTTAGATCCAGTGACAGACCCCAAGAATGTGAGTTCAATACCCGGTTAAGGCAGTGGAGAACTTTCAGAGGGAAAATTAGCAGGAGATAACTGATAACTGACATCCATCAAACATGGCACGGAGAACTAGAACAGTCTACCCCAGTGATCGAAAGAAAGGGTTCAGTTTGAAATTCCAACCACCTGAAGAAGGCCGGAGCGTACAATGGCCGAAATGTTGTGACAAATATGGCGACAAAGATGAGGACAATAGTCCGACTAATGTAAATACTGTACCTTTGTCACTCATAGTAAATATTGTCTTTTTGCTATCTCTCCCAAACCTTGTTCTGCCAACCATTTACACAAGCTCACGAGGAACATTATGTGCTATTTTCCTCTGTCTCTCAAAGTCACTCTTCCTAAAATCTGACCAAATGCAAAAACAACAAATATCATTTTAAGTACTTCTTGGTCAAAAACTTATCAGCACTGTGTGTGTGTGTATATATATATATATATATATTATATATATCAGCTATGTGCCATGCGTGATACACACTTAGGCCATCATGGCCGACAAGGCAGATTTTTTTCCCACAGTAGGTTGCCATTTCTTTCTGCGGTAAACCAGTTGCCATCCAAGGCAATTGGTCTATTGCCAGAAAGTGGTCTACCCGGTATGTTCTGCTATTTACCCATAGCTTTGAGAAGAAGAGGATTCATACCTTTCCCAAGGGTAAAACCACGTAAGTGAATGTAATGTATTCAACTGGAATTCGATCTCGGGTCTCAGATTCCTTAATCTGAACCACTATCCATTACCCCACTTTCTCTCTCTCTCTCTCTCTCTCTATATATATATATATATATATATATATATATATATATATATGAAGATGAAAGTTCAATTCATTGAGCATTGGGATCTTATAAACTTACTAACAGACTATTTTGCGACATTTTAGGTAAAATTTCAGAGACTTGTCTATGTGCACAAATCAGCATAGAAGGGCAGAAAATTGAGAGTATCAAATAGGTTTTATGCACAACCTTATTCTACTTAAATGTTATGCTGTGTAATTCTTTTCATTGTAAATGGTAAATCTGTTTACAATAGATTAGGAAGCAAAGTGAGAAAGAAAATATGACCAGAATTGTCATCCAGAAGAGAATTAGCAGAACCTTTTATCATAAGGTAATGTGGATTCTACTACATGTTCTACGTGATTGGATATGAAATCTGTCACATTGCCTGAACGATGCTTAGAAAAACAAGACAGTGAAGAGAGAAGCAAGATTGGATTCTTCTGAATGCCTAAGTGCCTTTTTGGAGTATTAGCAACTGTCAGACAGAGTTTCTTCTGGTGAAACTTAAAGAGAAACATAATGGGTATATGCACACCTACATCAGAAAACCCTGAAGAAGAAATAGGTAATTTTTAAAATAGAAAAATAAAATAACAAAGCAAGTCACAAAGAATTGTCATTATCATAGAAGATCCAAATGCAGAAACAGAATAATCATGTATAAAGTCTAAATAGAAAATAACTATAATGGAAGAAAAGGTAAGATTCACCATATATAACCCTCCAAGAGCCAATCAAGATAGGGGGTTACTGAAGGAGATGTGTTGCATGAGTAGGAAGAGACACAGTTTATGAAGATATATGGGACAGATAATTGTTAAACCTTGACTTGAAGAGGCTAAGATTATAGTGGACAGAAAAGGAACATCTTCAGAGTTAGTACGACAAAGTAGCAGTTCATGGAAGAAGCTGTTCAAGTGGAACTTTAACCTACCAATGGAATACAAAATAAATTAGGGTGGTTCACCGTGGCATACACAGTATGGTGGGTTTTAGCTGAAAGGGTTAGGGTTGGTGAAACTAAAGAATGTAACTCTTCTGAACACTTTCCATGGAAATAATAACAGAGTAGCAAGAGTCTTGCAATGTTTTCATCTGTGGGGAAAGTTTTTTTTGGGTGGGGGAGAATAATTCCTCACCCACAAGGATGTTGAGGTGCTTTTGAACTCTATCAACATTGGAAAGTGAAGATTAGGCAGCTCCAGCCCAGATATTGCAACAGTACTCCATTGTTGGTATGGTATGGCTCTTTTAAAAGAGCATAGCAGGTGGAATCAGGTATTTACTGAAGCGGTACAGGGAACCAACCATTTCCCCAGTACCTTTAACGATGCGTCATATATACAAGTTCCACTTGAGGTCTGGAGCAAGTTTAAGTCTCATAAGTGTTCAAGGCAATGGGCCTTCTGAAAATTCAGTGTCTTATGTATCCATAAGAGAGTTCTTCCAAGACATCAATTGAGGAGAATCTATAAGGCATAAAAGTATAGAAGGACCAGTAATACTAAAAACTTAGGGTAGGCCAA